CCTGGACCTCCTCTCCTCGAGGACCAAGGCGCAGAGGAAAGGACCCCTCCTGTCGCCTCCGCAGTGCGACGCCCTCGCCGGCCTGATCAGGCAAATATTGGATCTGAGGCCCGGAGCAGCCAGCAACCTCTACAAAGTCCTCGGACAGGTCAAGGCTGAGCTCAGGACAACACCAGCAGTCCCTCCAACACCCCCACTGCCTGCGCCTCAGCCTGCTAAGCCGGTGCTGCCCGCTCCCCATAAAAAGAAGTCAACTCCAGCCAGGACAACACCTCCGCTTCCACTGCCTGACCCGATGGAGGAGAAGGATCTGATGCCGGAGGTTGGTATAATATTTAGAAAAATGATCTTTGATCCAGGTGCTGGGCCCTTCTTAGAATCAGGGATTCAACTAGATGACATCATGCCTGCGGTCTTATACAGCGAAGACATAGAGGAACTCCTCGAGCAACTTTCGCCTGAAAATAAGAGTGTTCTCGCGGGCTTCCTTGATGTTGTTCTCGAGTATACTCGGAACAACCATCCCACTGTTCACAAGGAAATTTACGGGCTCAGGGTGGACTTGTCCTCCTGATGAGGCCAGACGTCCCCTCGGGGAGGGCTCCGCCCAATGTACATAGTTTATCCTCTTGACTCCTCGTGAGTGATTGTTGACCAGCGGTCAATAAAGTTATTTAATTGTCAAAAATTGTCACATGTCTACACATGGTACAGCAGCCATGATAATCATGGTGGGTAGTTAGTGACTGCTTTTACTGTAAGTACACCACATGTCTACACATGGTACAGCAGCCATGATAATCATGGTGGGTAGTTAGTGACTACTTTTACTGTAAGTACACCACATGTCTACACATGGTACAGCAGCCATGATAATCATGGTGGGTAGTTAGTGACTACTTTTACTGTAAGTACACCACATGTCTACACATGGTACAGCAGCCATGATAATCATGGTGGGTAGTTAGTGACTACTTTTACTGTAAGTACACCACATGTCTACACATGGTACAGCAGCCATGATAATCATGGTGGGTAGTTAGTGACTACTTTTACTGTAAGTACACCACATGTCTACACATGGTACAGCAGCCATGATAATCATGGTGGGTAGTTAGTGACTACTTTTACTGTAAGTACACCACATGTCTACACATGGTACAGCAGCCATGATAATCATGGTGGGTAGTTAGTGACTACTTTTACTGTAAGTACACCACATGTCTACACATGGTACAGCAGCCATGATAATCATGGTGGGTAGTTAGTGACTACTTTTACTGTAAGTACACCACATGTCTACACATGGTACAGCAGCCATGATAATCATGGTGGGTAGTTAGTGACTACTTTTACTGTAAGTACACCACATGTCTACACATGGTACAGCAGCCATGATAATCATGGTGGGTAGTTAGTGACTACTTTTACTGTAAGTACACCACATGTCTACACATGGTACAGCAGCCATGATAATCATGGTGGGTAGTTAGTGACTACTTTTACTGTAAGTACACCACATGTCTACACATGGTACAGCAGCCATGATAATCATGGTGGGTAGTTAGTGACTACTTTTACTGTAAGTACACCACATGTCTACACATGGTACAGCAGCCATGATAATCATGGTGGGTAGTTAGTGACTACTTTTACTGTAAGTACACCACATGTCTACACATGGTACAGCAGCCATGATAATCATGGTGGGTAGTTAGTGACTACTTTTACTGTAAGTACACCACATGTCTACACATGGTACAGCAGCCATGATAATCATGGTGGGTAGTTAGTGACTACTTTTACTGTAAGTACACCACATGTCTACACATGGTACAGCAGCCATGATAATCATGGTGGGTAGTTAGTGACTACTTTTACTGTAAGTACACCACATGTCTACACATGGTACAGCAGCCATGATAATCATGGTGGGTAGTTAGTGACTACTTTTACTGTAAGTACACCACATGTCTACACATGGTACAGCAGCCATGATAATCATGGTGGGTAGTTAGTGACTGCTTTTACTGTAAGTACACCACATGTCTACACATGGTACAGCAGCCATGATAATCATGGTGGGTAGTTAGTGACTACTTTTACTGTAAGTACACCACATGTCTACACATGGTACAGCAGCCATGATAATCATGGTGGGTAGTTAGTGACTACTTTTACTGTAAGTACACCACATGTCTACACATGGTACAGCAGCCATGATAATCATGGTGGGTAGTTAGTGACTACTTTTACTGTAAGTACACCACATGTCTACACATGGTACAGCAGCCATGATAATCATGGTGGGTAGTTAGTGACTACTTTTACTGTAAGTACACCACATGTCTACACATGGTACAGCAGCCATGATAATCATGGTGGGTAGTTAGTGACTACTTTTACTGTAAGTACACCACATGTCTACACATGGTACAGCAGCCATGATAATCATGGTGGGTAGTTAGTGACTGCTTTTACTGTAAGTACACCACATGTCTACACATGGTACAGCAGCCATGATAATCATGGTGGGTAGTTAGTGACTGCTTTTACTGTAAGTACACCACTTGTCTACACTCGGCCGTGCGGCCACGCGTCGCGCGAGCTCCTGAGTTTTTCGCCTCTGGCGGGCGGAAAGTGTCGCGGATGGCGACAAATATGGTATGGGCTGAAAGCCCGTCAAAAGCCGAAGACAAGCCTGTAAGGCTCGGCTCTGAAGCACAGCCCAGTGCGGTAATAACAGCAAAAGACGTTTTGCAGATCAATTCCTCGATGAATTCAAAAGAAAATGAAAACTATGTAAATCCGCCCGCCGGCAGCCAGGATGCAAATTCTGCCGCGCCGGTCGACCTTGCGGCTATTCCAACTGCTAACGCCGCTGCTCAAGTCCGGAGAAACTGGGCTGACATCACAGAAGAGGTGAATCCTGGAGCTGAGGAAGGATTTACCCTCGTCCAGGGTAGGAAGAGGCGCCGTGGCTCGGCAAATTCGCCTACGGCTGCTGCACCATCCTCCAATGCTGGAGGTTCCAGGACCATTCGCCGACCTCAACCATCGGCGGGTTCGGTGCCGCGGGCCCAGGAAATCAGGGTCACCAGAGCACACATCACGGAAGCCAGGGCGCGGCAGGCGTCCTCCTCCGAGGAACACTGTGTGTACATCGAACACAGCCCCGAACTGGAGCCCTTCCACTACCTTAAGGCATTGGATAGGATGCTCGGAGGAACTGCCGGAGTCATCCAGATCTCCAAGGTGAACGGCCACCAGCTCCTGGGACTGACCAACAGAGGCCTGGCCGAGCGCCTCATAAATGAGGGCCTCGAGGTTGAGGGAACACTCCTCAGGGCATTTCCTTTCCGCAAAAGAGCGGAAAGGATTACAGTGGGTAACCTACCCTTCTTTGTAGGAGACTCCGCTGTCATCAACGCCCTCTCTCCATATGGGTGGGTTACGTCCATCGCCCCTAAGCAGATGAAGGCGGGCCCCTACGTCTACGTCAATGGCCGGCGAGACGTCTTCATCACCCTACATGAGGGGATCACCATCGAGAGGCTTCCAACCCGCCTCGACATCAACATCAAAGGCGAAGCCTGGCCTGCGTACCTGTCCTCGGGCATCAGGTGTTCCAGGTGCCACGGACAAGGGCATCGGAGGGCCACTTGCCCCCTGCTTGCAGGGCAGGCCAACAACACCAGAATGGCCCCACCAACCACTCCTGCAGGCGTCCCACCACCGACCACCCCTGCACCGCCTCAGCGGTCAGCAGCCCAGCCTCCTGCGCCGGCACCCTCCAATCCAGCCATGGAGGTTTGCAGCGCTCCTCCCGTGGCCCGAGCTGTGCTCCATCCATCTGCACCTCGGCCATCTCCACCAGCGGCCCCAACCTTACCTATGGAGGAGACACCTTCTGCCCCTCCACCTGTGACCCCTGCTCCGTCCCTGCAGGTGCCTGAGGGTCCCGTGGGCCCTCGCTCGGCCATTTCACAAAATCCAGAGCCGCCTCTAGCTCGGCCGGACTTCGTTGCCCCGCGCGACCCTCTGCCCGCCCAGAAGACCCTCGGGCCTGCGGCCCCAACACCGGACGTGGAAATGTCCATCGTGGAGGAGACCTTTGCGTCCTCCACGTCATCGGCAAAGAACGCAACAAGAGTCGACCTCGATGCGTTCATCGAGAAGCACCCCAGCGTGTCCTTCGCTGGGACGGACGCCCTTGGTCTTGGGCGGGAGGAGGTCTTAGACCTCCTCTCCTCGAGGACCAAGGCGCAGAGGAAAGGACCCCTCCTGTCGCCTCCGCAGTGCGACGCCCTCGCCAGCCTAATCGGGCAAATCTTGAATCTGAGGCCCGGAGCAGCCAGCAACCTTTTCAAAGTCCTCGGACAAGTCAAAGCTGAGCTGAGGCCAACAACATCCGCAGTGCCCACACCTCCACTGCCTGCGCCTCGACCATCTGAGCCGGTGCCGCTCACTTCCCACAGGAAACAACTGTCACCTGCTCTCAGAACACCCCCGCTGCCCGCCCCGTCGGAGATGGAGGAGGACGTTCCAATGACGGAGGAAGAGCGCTGTGCACCCCCACCGCCTGCGCCTTGGCTCGCTGGGCCAATACCACCCGTCCCCCATGGGGATTCGACGACACTGGCCATGGCAACACCTCCGCCTCCACTATCCACCCAAATGGATAGAGCTCTGATGGACAAGCGCTGGGAGGCGCTAAGAGATCTAATGCATGAATTGGATCGTGAATTCGAACTCGACTTGGAGAACCGATTCCAATCGCGGGTTGACGTGGATGACATCATAAGAGCAATCCTATACCCCGGGGATAGGGAGCCCCTCATCAAGCGCCTACCCACTCGGGATAGGTACACCCTCGGTGGATTGATGAGCACCGCCATCAGGCGCGCTCGGGAATTAGATCCTTCTATACTCGAATGTATGTCCGCACTCAGGAAATTACTACCTGCTTGAGTCAAGACGACCCTCGGCGAGGACACAGCCTTTGAACATTGTTACTTAACTCTTTGTAGTTTGCCGATTGTCTAAGATGACAATAAAAAATTGTTTAATTGTCAATTGTCACATGTCTACACATGGTACAGGCCATGATAATCATGGTGGGTAGTTAGCGACTGCTTTTACTGTAAGTACACCACATGTCTACACATGGTACAGGCCATGATAATCATGGTGGGTAGTTAACGACTGTTTTTACTGTAAGTACACCACATGTCTACACTCGGCCGTGCGGCCACGCGTCGCGCGAGCTCCTGAGTTTTTCGCCTCTGGCGAGCGGAAGAATGTCGCTGGAAGCCCTCCCCGAGCTGAACATGAGCCTGCAAGGCTCGGCTCCGAAAGTGAAGAAGCCATTGCGGATTTATCCGCGGAAAACCATTTTCAAGGTGAAGATTCGAGAATGGCTGACGCAAGCGCCAACTATGCAAATCTGTCAATCGACAGAAGCCATGCAAATTTTGCCGCGGCGTGTATCGCTGACGTCATGCCATCAACAAGCGGCGCCTTGGCCGCTGCGACGAACTGGGCCGAGCAAATGGAGGCTGCGGAATCAGGTGAAGATAACTTCACCGTAGTTAAACACAAGCGTAGACGCAGGGAGTCGCCGAACCGCCCTGTCGAACAACGTTCCAGAGGTGTCGCGGCCTCCAGAAGGACCGGCGCAATCCCGCGAAGACGGCCAACTGCGGGAGGAGCTACGGTGGTCCAGGAAATCAGGGCTACCCGGGCCGACATCGCCGATGCCAGAGTACAACAGCGCTCTTCAACTGAGGATAACTGCGTCTTCGTGGAACACTGCCCAGACTTCGGGTACACCCATTACCTACAGGCGGTAGAAGAGCTGGTCGGAGGAGCCGGGAATGTGCTCCAAGTGATGAAAATGGACGGCCACATGCTGGTGGGCCTGTCCACCAAGGCCCTGGCGGAGCGACTTCTAAGGGACGGCCTTGAAATCGGGCATACCCACCTCAGGGCCTTCCCCTTTAAGAAAAGGGCGGATAGGATCACCGTCACAAACCTGCCCTTTTTCGTAGACGACGCCGCCGTCATCGAGGCCCTCAGGCCCTACGGTGACGTGACTTCCATTGTCCCTATCCGGCTGAGAGCCGGAAGGTATACCTTCACGGATGGCCGACGCGAGGTATTCATCCTCCTAAAGGAGGGCTTTACACTGGAAAAGATCCACACCCGCGTCGTCATCAGAAACAAAGGAAACGTCCTCTCGGCCTTCATATCATATGGAGTCAAGTGCTCCAGATGCGGCCGGCAGGGTCACTGTAGGGCCAACTGCCCTATCAATCCTGGGAGAGCCTCCAACAACGGCCAGCCACAACCGGCACCCCTTCCACCTGGTGCATCGTCCACCGTGTCCCGGCAGCAGAGCCGTCCAACACCAGCGGCCCCGGCCTTGCCTATGGAGGAGACGCCTTCTGCCCCTCCACCTGTGACCCCTGCTCCGCCCCTGCAGGCGCCTGAGGGTCCCGTGGGCCCTCGCCCGGCCGGTTCACAACATCCTGAGCCGCCTCCCGCTCGGCCGAACCTCGTTGCCCCCGCGTGGCCCTCTGCCCGCCCAGAAGACCCTCGGACCTGCGGCCCCAACACCGGACGTGGAGATGTCCATCGTGGAGGAGACCCTTGCGTCCTCCACGTCTTCGGCAAAGAATGCAACGAGAGTCGACCTCGATGCGTTTATCGAGGGGCACCCCAGCGTGTCCTTCGCTGAGACGGACACCCTTGGTCTTGGGCGGGAGGAGGTCCTGGACCTCCTCTCCTCGAGGACCAAGGCGCAGAGGAAAGGACCCCTCCTGTCGCCTCCGCAGTGCGACGCCCTCGTCGGCCTGATCAGGGCAAATCTTGGATCTGAGGCCCGGAGCAGCCAGCAACCTTTACAAAGTCCTCGGACAGGTCAAGGCTGAGCTCAGGACAACACCAGCAGTCCCTCCAACACCCCCACTGCCTGCGCCTCAGCCTGCTAAGCCGGTGCTGCCCGCTCCCCATAAAAAGAAGTCAACTCCAGCCAGGACAACACCTCCGCTTCCACTGCCTGACCCGATGGAGGAGAAGGATCTGATGCCGGAGGTTGGTATAATATTTAGAAAAATGATCTTTGATCCAGGTGCTGGGCCCTTCTTAGAATCAGGGATTCAACTAGATGACATCATGCCTGCGGTCTTATACAGCGAAGACATAGAGGAACTCCTCGAGCAACTTTCGCCTGAAAATAAGAGTGTTCTCGCGGGCTTCCTTGATGTTGTTCTCGAGTATACTCGGAACAACCATCCCACTGTTCACAAGGAAATTTACGGGCTCAGGGTGGACTTGTCCTCCTGATGAGGCCAGACGTCCCCTCGGGGAGGGCTCCGCCCAATGTACATAGTTTATCCTCTTGACTCCTCGTGAGTGATTGTTGACCAGCGGTCAATAAAGTTATTTAATTGTCAAAAATTGTCACATGTCTACACATGGTACAGCAGCCATGATAATCATGGTGGGTAGTTAGTGACTGCTTTTACTGTAAGTACACCACATGTCTACACATTGTAAAAAGCAGTTAGACTTTTACACTTACAAATGTGCCAGGGCCTGTTTGGTTACTTGCACTCATAGGTAGGGAGCCATTGAAGCAATTTTCAATTTTGAAAAAGTTCCCCAAATTGGGATTTGATCCTGGGTTGGGTATGTAAATAGTTTATCCTCCATTGACCAAACTCTAGGAGGTACTGTCTCTCTGGCAGCAAGTTATGTAACAGACCTGGTGTTATAACTATGGAGGCTGAACTGGGGTCAGACTGGTTGTACATGAGCTGTCTCTCTAACACATGGACAATCTGGTTGTGTACACTCTACCTGGGTGTCTCTTATTGTTGTTGCTTGGAGGAGATATTGGTTTATAAAGGTCACCTCTCTGTCAAAACAGATGCCAAGATACATCCGAAATATTTTTTAACCCTTTAAGCGCCGAGGTAACGATCCATCGTTACCCTATAACGTCACCAGGAGCGCCGGGGTACTGATCTATCGTTACTTCCTTGTAGGGCCCCTCGTGGGGGAGGGGGTGGTGGCTGGCTATTTTTATCACCTCCCTTCTCACTTCTGGGCTTGTCTCTACACGTTAGCTGTGTTTTTATCTCCTTTGTCTTGCGATTTCCTTTTTTTATTTTTAATTTTTTAAAAATGGCTTCCGGTTCAGAATGCTCTGCATTTTCTGAGGACACTGAAGTTTATTCTTTGTCTTCTGAGTTTGAAGAAAGTGTTGAAGACACTTTTGAAGATGAATTTTCTGATGAAGAAGTGGATGAAAACCAGCCAAGTCCTTGGGTAAGAGTTTATACTCCATTTTCCACATCTAAAACGTTGACTTTTGGAGAAGTTTGTGGCCCACAGCACCTTCCCCCCTCTATTATCCGGCCTATTGAATACTTTTTGTTATTCATAACAATTAATTTGATGAAGGAAATTGTGGCTTTTACCAATAAATGTGCCCAAACTTTATTGGCAAGCAATAGGGACAAATTGCCTCTATTTTCTAGGAAGCTGGCCTGGAAGGACACTACCTTGGATGAGATGATGGCCTTTATTGGAGTCATCTTCAATATGGGCAATGTGAAGAAGAACCAAATCAGGGACTATTGGAGCAAGAATGAACTTTTAGAGACGCCCTGGTTTGGTAAAGTTATGTCTAGAGGGAGATTTGAGTTGCTCTACAGCTGCTTTTCTCTGATTGATGACTCCAACCTGGTTCCAAGTTCTCATCCTGATTACAACCCAACTGCAAGATTTGAGAAGCTCATAGAGCATGTGAACAACAAGTTTATATATTATTATAAGCTTACTCAAAATCTTACAGTTGATGAGAGCTTGGTGTGCCTAAAAAACCGAACTCGTCTTAGACAATATATGCCCCAAAAGCACCATGGTCGATTTGGAGTCAAACTGTGGATGCTTTGTGAATCTAAAACTGGCTATTGTCTGAGAATGAAGCCATATAAAGGGAAATTATCTCCAATTATCAAGTCCCTTTCCTATGATGTTCCAATGAATCTGCTCCAGGAATCCAGTTTACTTGGAAAAGGTTATCATTTGATAACTGACAACTTTTTCACCAGCATCAACCTAGCCAAGGACTTACTGGACAGTCATACTTATTTGACTGGTACTATAAGAACTAATAGGAAAGGACTTCCTAAAACCTTAAAAAGTGCAAAATTAGGTGTTGATGAATCCCTTTATATGGTAAATAATAATCTACTGGCCCTGGCTTACAAAGAAAAGAAGAGCAAACCTCCAGTGAAGTTTCTCTCAACATTTTGTGATGCTTCTTCTGGCAAAAAGAAGGTGTCAGACCAAAGAGACTACCCACAGATGAAAATATGCTATGATAGCTACATGGGAGGGGTAGATCTCAATGATCAAATGTTGTATACATATATGGATGAAAGAAAAGGAAGAAAATTTTATAGAAAGGTGATCCTCAACATCTTCCACAGGGCTTTCCTAAACTCCTTCATCCTATATGAACAGCATACCAAAGACAACCCCAAGCTTTCTAGAAGGGCTTTTAACTATTCAGTAATAAATGAATTAGTTAAAAATCACTTGAAACCTCCAGTACTGCCTTCAACAAGCCAGGAAGTACTCGAAAAACTTCCAGAAAAGAGAGAGAGTAGATGTGTGGAGTGTACAAAAGAAGGCCTGAAGCGGAGGTCTAGAACCATATGTTCAAAGTGCAAGAGAGGCTTGCATCCAGTCTGTGCTTTTAAACACAAGTGTTAGCTTTGTAAATAGCCTTGTATATATCTAAAATTCCTTTTTATATTTGTAAAACCTTATTTTGAAAAATTCAAGTCGATTATTCAATTAATTATAATTAACCCCCAATTAAAAAATTAAATACTCACTCCAGTATAATAAAATCAGAGTGTTGTGTTGAGAGAGGAGTCTGGATTATATTACACTTTACAGAACACTTCTATCTATCATATTTATTTATTTATAACATTTTTTACTTAACAACTACTTGATCATCAGTTTAGGCTTAATTAGTGTGGTCCTGATAGTGATAGTTAGCATTCGGGCCCTAGAGCTTAAAGGGTTAACACTACTTTTTAAATAAATATTCCCATAATTGGAAACTATTATAGACACGTATGATTCTTTTTAAAAATAAACAATTTCTACTGCCTTACTGCAATGGAAAAATTATGGGAGGGCCTGGCTCATCAGTGGTGAACCCTCCCAGTGGTAATTTTTCCATTGCACTAAGGCAGTACAAATTATTTATTTTTAAAAAGAATCATATGTGTCTATAATAGTTTACAATTTTGATAACAGATGGCGTGCTAATGCATCTTAAATATTTCCATAATTAAAAGTTTTTTTTTTTTTGCTTATCCCTAGTACACGTGGTACAGGCCATGATAATCATGGTGGGTAGTTAGCGACTGCTTTTACTGTAAGTACACCACATGTCTACACATGTGAAAGCAGTTCGACTTTGCACTTACAAATGTGCCAGAGCCCCGTTTGGTTACTTGCACTCGCTGGTGGGGTTGGACTTTTGCAAGAATCGGGGGGCCATTGGAGCATTTTTTATATATATATTTTTTAAACATAAAAAGTGTCCAATGCGGGGATCGAACCCGGGTCGTAGTGGTCGAAAACCAAACGGTTTAACCAGCCTTCCACCGACCCCCCTAGTAAATACTAAGTATTTCTCATGAATAGCTAGTGTTAAAGATGCAGAAATTGATGCAAAGCAATAGGTAAAAATTTGTTTCAAATTTATATTGAATTAAATAAAAATGCTGAGTCATTTTTGCGCACCCAATACATCTTAATATAGATGGTTTGACAGCTCTCATGTTTAGGCTCTATGGATCACCAAAAAAGATTTTATACTTGTAACATGAGGCAGTCCACAAAATTCTAACCTATGTGTGAAAATCCCAATGGATTTGTAATTGACCCCGGTTTGGTTATATGGATTGACAGGCAGGACATAGTGTAACAGCCGGGTGTGAGGGCAGAGTGTGCGGCCCCTGGTGGAGACCCTGTCCCAGCTGTCCGGCCCCCACACAGAGGTGCTGTTGTCCTACGAGGAGAGACACGAGGACGACAAGGTCCAGATCCACAACCTCTTCATGGAGGTAAGTTGTCTAGCCGGCATTGAGGGCTCTTTAGATGGACAAGGAATTTACTTTGACATTTCGACAAAAAATCTTTTGTCCTAGTCTAGAAAAAAACGTTTTGGCTAGCTGTTATAAAATTAATCTCTAAATATATATTTAATGATGACAAAAAAAGATTTTTATCGAAAGGTTGAAAAAATGATAGGTTGGATCATAGGTTAGAAACCTGAGGCAATAAGACCAAATTAATAAAGTGGGTGTCAGTGAAATTTGGTCTTGTTACCTTGGGTTACAAAAGTGTCTCAAGAAATGTTCCCAGCTAGTGGAGTGTGCTGCAGCTGATGAGGGAGAGGTTCGGCATGGAGCGGGTCCCGGAGAGTGAGCTGGATCAGACCTTCCAGAGTCCGGACATCCACGTCCTGAGGCTGAGGAAGAAGGACCCTCCGGACACCTCAGGCTAGAGTCCGGTACCCTGCTACTCTAGTTAGTCTCTAGGAAGGCCGCCGCTGCGTTGTTATATTAATGACCCGAGGGTCTTCTATCCCCCTGAGCTTTCTTTGTAGGTTCCTGCTGTATATAATAAATCTCTTCATGTTGACATATAAGTCTTGAGAAACTTTCATTGTGAATTGAGAAACTAGATTATTCATTGTGAAACCTTGTACAGACAACTACTATGTATAGGCTTTGTTACTTCAGTCACTAGAGTAAATTTCACAGATAAACAACAACTGTTGAGAACTTTTTATTAAGTTGTATAGACATTCATTCTTCTTCCATTATGGTGATGACAGACCTAGGTGGGGATGGGCAGCTTGTTGGCCACCATGATGAGGATCTCCTCCGTCTTCTTGCGCCAGTTGGCGATGTCCTTGGACACGGAGCACCAGTTCTCTCCGTACTTGGGCTCAGCATTCACACACTTCTTGCGGACTTCCTGCTGCATCTCCTGGAGCACACAGTCAAGTGTGACGTACTGAGCAGACTATTGTCGCACTACACTTCAAGAAACTCTACAAGATGTTTAACAGGTACCAGAGGTTCTCTAAATAGAGTTTCTTTGGAGAAACTCCAGTTCCTGTTAAACCGCCTGTAGTTTCCCACACTTGAGTAGCAGGGTACAAGATGGCCGTACCTCTGTGCCATTGAAGAGCTCAAACTTGTAGTAGTAAGCCCAGGCATCCCCGAGGTCAGAATCTATCTTGATGGTGCGGCCAAACCACTCGCGAGCCTTGTCAATCTTGCGGTCACACCACATGGTGCTGCACACACCAGGAGTTAGGAGGTGACCATAGGATCTACACAGTGGAACCTACTTGGAGATGGCCAGGAGAACGTGGGCATCATGTTCACAGTGCTTGAGGGCATCCACAGTCTTGGCTTTGCGCTGCTGGCGTGACTCCATGAAGATGGCCTCCGCCCAGAGTATTCCACTGTTGGGGCATTCTTGCATGGCTGCAACATGTTGATTGGCTAAGAGATCTCATGTCTGGTATATGTAAATAAGAATGGCTTTCCAAATAAAACTTGCTTTGTTGTTGTATTGAGTTTTCCATCACCCACAACCCACCTTTAGCCATGAGGATGTGAGCCATGGCCTCTTGGTTGGCTCTCCGTTCCAGCCGCACGGCAGCCAGCCATAGCTCTGGGTTGGCCGGGTTACGATGTCTGGCCTTCTCCAGCACAGAGCGGGCTCGGGTTACCAGGCCGGAGGTTTCCTCCAGCCGCGAGAGCAGCAGCCAGAGTGGAATGGAGGTGGGGCATCGCTTGTGCTGCACACACACATAGTAGAGGGTTCCAGCTTCCTTGTGGAAACAGACATGCGCAGGTCACAGTTATCCAAGGTGTCTCTCTGAAGCAAAGACTAATTTCTGTACCAATCAGTTTGTAGCTTTCCTCAATCCCAGTCCAGTAACATACTTTAAACATGTTGCACTAATTGCCCAGAGAGGCTCTGCTACCTGTCATACACAACCCAATTAGGGAAAGGTGACAGCAATTAGCGCAAGGAATCCTCACATGTTTAAAGTCACGGTCCCTGAACTGGGATTGAGGAAAGCTACAATCTGATTGGTAGAGAAATTAGTCTTTGCTGCAAAGCGACAACTCCACCTTGGATAAGACAGTAGGTGTGTGCTATAAAAGGCTTTAAAATTGGAATACAGTAGAACTACCTCTCTCTGAAGGACACCACCTAGTTACAGAGCCAAAGCTTACTGGAGAGTTACTAATTAGTAAAGATGGCAATGAAAACTGTTCTTTGTAGAGAGGAGTCCTCTCATAGAGGTAGTTCTACTGCATTCAAGTACGAGATATTACAATTTAAAATATTGTGTTACATAGAATAAAAAATACACAATCATAATAGACTATGTTCTAGAATAATGTTAAACAATCCGAACTCTGATTGACCAATTTAAAACTATTATGAAAGTCTTAGTGCTTTCTGATTGGCTGACCAACCTATAGCGTTCTGGAAAAATCTCCAGGATATATAGGGATGCCAAGGTCGTGCTGGGAGAAGAATGAAGCGTGAGCTACCGTCTCAAGATGTCAGGCGGCTGCTTACTGACTACATGGATGATTCTAGAAGGTTCTTCCAACTTTTGTATTGTTTTCTTTTGTATTCTTCTGTAATTATTTTAAAGATTGTACCTAAATAAAGTTCTAAAGATCCTTTGTACCCACGGGAGTTCTTTTGTCAAGCAACAACGTATCAATATCCCTGGTAGGTACCTTCAGTCATGGAGAAAGCAGGAGTTACATTTATGATTGACAAACCTATGGTAACAACAATAAGGTCACATTCAAATAGATGAACTGTTAAATGATAAGGCACAATTTGGATTATAGACACAAGGTAATAAGATTAAATAAATAAATAGTGTGTGACGTTTTAGTAACAGTTACCATCTTCAGACAAAAGTACTGAATGAGAAATTTTACCACAGCATGGTTTAAATAGTTACTGTTATCAAGTGTGTAAACAAGATAGCAGATAAGAATAAGATAGTTTTCTAAGAACCCTAAAATATTATTCTTAGAATTAGAAAAAACCCACTTTTTTTAGATATAATTAAAAGCCTATCTCTAAATATCATTGATATTTCCTCTTTCTTCCATTCTGTTAATTGTAGCACATTTCTTTTGAATGAAAAATGCTTCTTTAAATTGTCTCTTAAAGTAATTTTTCTCACAATCTTTGTTTCTTCTAGATTGAAATTGTCCTGTGTATTATATACAAGTGCAGAATTCTCTATTTTATCCCATTTCAGAGCATATTCATGGTTCTTTCTTTTAAAGTTGTGGATGTTTGTCTTACATAGCATTGGTCACATTTCACTTCATAAACCAAACCTGCTCTTTTTGGTAATTGGGTGTTCTTATGGTTGTTGATATATTGAGAGATAGGGTTACATGGTTTCCATGCAATTTTTATTTTTCATACTTTTTGAATATATTAGTAAAATTTCTTGAAAACTTTTGGTTTATAAATGGTAATGTGATGGCTTCCTGGTTTTTTCACTTTAGATTTTGAATTAAAGTATTATTCTCATATTTTGGTTCATGTCTTCTATCTATCAATTTGATGGGAAAATCTTCATTGATTAGTAATGAGTAAAAGTTCTAAATATAAGAGCTTTTACTAAACCTACTTTATGGCTGAAATGGTGCTGTGAGCTATAGTTCCTGTATATAGAGGTGTTATTATTGTATGATAAGTCCAGGAAATTTGTTGTCATCTACTTCCATAGATTGTTGAAAGTATACATATTCTTTGTTCACTTCCCTGAATGATAAATATAATGGATTCGTCTACGTATCTTTTGAAATAAAAAAAACAAATCATACAAGAAAATAAGATCTAATCCAAATAATTTAATAGTGTGTGACGTTTCAGCAACAGCATTGTCACCATCATCAGACAAAAGAATAAACCATTTATTGTAACAAAGCTGTTGCCGAAACGTCACACACTATTAAATTATTTGGATTAGATCTTATTTTCTTGTACCTAGATGAACTGTAAAGTGCAAACAAAAGGTACCTAGGGTAACAAGGTCACATCCAAATAGACAAACTGTTAAGTTTCAGTGAAAGCTTTACTACCAAATTT